GCAAGGGCCTTTTAGCAAGTACCTAGGCTGTTAGTATGGTAAGTTACAACGTCAATATTGCCATTGTTCGCAAACTGGTACTTTTCCACTCGTTGCCACTGAGGGCCTCTTGCGTCCGAACTTCAACAAAGTACTTCTTTTCTTCTGTCTACTGTTGACTGATTGATGCTGCTCTAATCCAATTCTCGTGGTGCTAGTTGACAACGACTGCTCAACATCACTATACTCGAGAGCAACATGGAGTTAAAAGCTGCGGCCGCAGTGAGTGACAAATGGGTCTGTTAGTTCGTCAGTCTTGGCTTTGTTCTGCTTAGCAGGTCTTGAATAGGAAACGTCTGAGGTTAAACTGGGCAGTCGAGAGTTCAGACCTTTTAAAGAAAATATTCAAGCCGACTGTGCAGAGATCTCCGCATAAATTTCCTTCAAAGACTTCTTTTCTGAGACAGCAGACTTACTCTTTCAGACGTGTACACAGAGGTGGCTTTGGTGGGCCATCCGATGAACTACTGTCGGAGTCCCCACTGGCTCTCTCAACATCGACGTCTTCCGAATCTTGCTTCAGAGGGTTGGCTGCCGGGGCTTTCTTTTTTCTTGCAGCTTTAAACCAGCCATGATGTTTCTGCGATGAAAAAAATAACTGAGTGCATAAGAAACAATAAAAAAACATAAATTGTATTCTGCTACAACTTATAAATGAGATCTGACGAGAGAGGAAGACGAAAAGCACGGACGCCTGTAATGCGGAATGATGGTAAGAAGGGTTTTATGTGTGGGGGGAAAAAATGACAAACAGCCTACTCCGTGATTGGTAAATGGCAAAAGGAGCATTTATGTCAGTGTTTTGTTTAAGTACACCGACAGTCAAGGAGAGCATTCGCGTGTAATTTAAAAATACATAAAAAATGGAAGTGGCTGCTTAGTGTGATCGTATGCAGCCCACAAACTAAACTCTGCTCGAACAATCAAAGCACCAACGAACGAAAACAAAATCGTCTTGTCAACGACAGCTTAATGCCCTTCCACCGGTTACGAAACTCACTCGTCCCGCAGTGCCTTAAAGTTTTTTTAGCCACGCCGGGAGCCGCATAGTGGCTAGTAGTATAGACAAAATAGGAGTACCGACAACGACAAGGGAGAGGGGCAGTGCCATTGCTTCCTTATTAGACTTCATCAGCCAGCCATACACAACCTCCCGTGTTACAATATCTGAGGATCAAACCCACAGCCTGTTTCCTAGAATTCCAAGGCTAAAATCCTTCTGCCTATAACATTAATTGTTGTGCGGCTGTTGACGGGGCCCGAGAGTGAGACCCAAGGCGCAAAGGGACGAGTGAGTCCCGTAACCGCTCGATTAACGCTAATCTACCATTTTTAATATTCCGGATCGGGACCGGCAGGCCAACGAGCTCGTGGCTGAAGGATTAGACGAAAGACTTCTAGGCAACAGTTCGCGGGTCCAATCTTCAGGGGCTTCAACACCCGGAAGTTCCC